AAACCATTGGTTTTTTGATGTTTTTATGTTAAAATCGCTCCGAACACTAAGCTTTTGGAAGGATTTCGTCTTGCGCGCGCGAATGTCCACTTTACCTTATTTTTTGCAAGGGATTCTTGAAATTTGATTATATTAGAACAAGAAATGTCATTTTATAGTGTTTTTTGCAAGGGAAAGCGGGGGGGAACAAAACAACCGGATCTTGATCACATCGAATTACCTGAGGCTTCCTCACGAAAATGATGAAAATGTAGCTGCGGCCTAGGCGGCGCAGGGGGGCCGTGCACCAGGGGTCCCAACAATAATTATTCTTTAGAATTAATAATGTTCAACAACAACAACAACAACAGCAACAGCAACAGCAACAGCAACAGCAACAGCAACAACAACAACAACAACAACAACAATAATCAGCGCCACGGAAACCCACTTTAGCCACGCACCCAGGGACAATGAATGACCGTTCGGCCCCCTCACTCTGATATCATTATATATGTATATATATAGATACATAAAAATATAATATCGTATTCCCATATTTTTACAAGCCCGGGCGGGAGAAAAGAAAACCACCCACCCACCCCCCAAAACCGGACTCCCGGGATCTGGGGCTTTGGGACCCTCCAGACGGGCCTCGAAGCGGCCCTCCGGGCCTCGCAGGGCGTTTTGCCAAGCCTTCCCAGCACACCTAGGGCGATCAGGGGGGTCATCGGAGACGTCCCAGAGACCCCCAAGACAGCACAAGAGCGCTCCAAGAGTGACCGACGTGACCTCGAGATGGCCTAAGAGGCCTCCAGGACGGCCCCAAAGAGGCCTCCAAGAGCACTCCCAAGAATGCCCTCAGAGGCAAAAGTCATAGATTTTCTTTTGGTTTTTGCTGAATTTTGGGGTTCTCCTCTTTCCGGCTTCCCGACGCTCCAAGACGGCGGTCTTCTGGGCGTTCGAAGCCGCCTGGGAGGCTCCCAAATCGCCCCACAACCATCCGAAAGGGCTTCCAGGCAGTACAAGAGAGCCCCAAAACGGCACAACACGGGTCCAAGATGGCCCTCAGAGGGCCCCATGGCGGCCCAAGATGGCCCCAAGACACCCTCCGAAGCATTCCAAATCGTGACCCGGTCGTTCAGGGAGACCGCGGTTGGAGGCAGGGTGGCCCGAGGAAGCCCCCAGAGGCCCCCAGAATACGCCCAGGAGGCCTCCAGAAGGCCTTGAGAAAGCCTGAAACTTTTGTGAGGCCCCCAGAGGCTCTCCAAGGAGGAGCCTCCTCAAAAAAGAGCTGAGGAGGATGGGGAGAATGCGCAGGGTATGGCGAAAATAAAGAAAAAGAAGCATGGAGGAGGGATATCTAATAACATTATTATAGCGGCGACGCCGGAAAAGGCAACAAGGAGTTATCGCTAAACTGTCGGCTTGACCTTCCTGCTTTTCCGCCTGCAGACCAAACTTCAAGGACCAAGGTGCATGGAGCGAAGCGCCACTGCAGTCTTGTGTATATATGTTTACACATGCACCGTATACACATATGTATAGGTTTACATATAAACATATGTACACTTCTATATGTACGGTCGGGCACACACACACACATATACATACCTACACACATCTATATGTATGTATATATGTATATACATACGCGTGTGTGTGTGTGTATACGTCTCTGCATCAGTCTCCCTCTCCCGTTCGATATTTGATCGAATGTATGCATACCCTCTCTGTTTAGCTCCTTCTAGCTCCTTCTCTCCTTTCTTTCCCAAATTAGGCTTGCCTAAGGGGTCCTTACTTGGTCAAAGGTTGGAGCCTCTGGAGCTTCCTTTGGCCGTCGCTCGGAGATTCCCTGGGTTCCTCGGGTTTCCTGGGTCCCTCGGATTCCTCGGATTCCAGGGTTCCTCGGTTTACCAGGGTTCCTCGGGTTCCTCGGGCTCAGCGGGTTCCTCGGGTTCCCCAGGTTCCTCGGGTTCCCCAAGCAATGCCAAGCAATGCCGAACAATACCTAGCAATGCCAAACAACGCAAAGCAATGCCAAGTGATTCCAAGCAATGCGAAGCAATGCCAAGCAATACCAACCAATGCCAAGAAATGCCAAGTAATTCCAAGCAATGCGGAGCAATGCGAAGCAATGCGAAGCGATGCCAAGCAATGCCAAGCAATGCCAAGCAATGCTTGGCAATGCCAAGCAATGCCAAGCAACGCCGAGAAGTGCCAAGCAATGCCAAGCAATGCCAAGCAATGCCAAGCAGTGCCAAGCAGTGCCACGCAATGCCAAGCAATGTCAAGCAATGCCAAGCACTGCGCCCATGTAGTAGAACATTTTCCCCAAATTTGGGTCGCGCCGGATTCATTTGTTGTGTATCGGTCGGTATTCCCCTCTCTCTCATCCTCCCCCCTCCCATCCCTCTGTCTGTCATCCTTCATACCTCTCTCTCTCAATCCCTCTCTCTCCCTCTCTCTCCCTCTCTCTCCCTCTCCCTCTCTCTCTCTCTCGTTCTCTTTCTCTTTCACT